TTGAATAAGGGGCTTGCTCACAATTGAAGCAAAGGGTTCTGACTTTTCTTTTTATTTCCGGAACACCGACTAGGTATTGGCCACAGACTAGGATTAAATGACCAACCCCAAGAAATTTCTCATTCCTCCAAGAACTATTTTTCACTTTTCCAGTTTTTACCCAGAAAGTTTACGTCGGTGATTAATGCCGAAGAATTTGCCTATCTGGGCTTACAAAGATAGTATACCCCTCGAAAATAAGTTTCCAAGTATGAAACGGAATGAGAGACATAAATAACATTTAATAAGGGCCTAGAACCTAGTAGTTCAGTTTTTAAAATCCATACAACTGCTATTTTTCTAGATTAAAAAAAGGTGAGGTCTGGTAACTTTCCTGGTAGAGCAGAGATACAAACCCAAGGTTATCTGTCTCCAAAGCCCACACCTACCTAGAGTGGCAATGCCTTCTCTGGAGTTAAGTGGGAGAGTTCACCGCTCCCCCCCATATCCACTCCAAATGCATAAACCTAGACTGTGCATAAACCAGGTTTGAGGGACTACTGGCCAAGACAAGGGACACAGACCCTTCCCCAGCTCCATGGGAAGCCATGCAAAGACTCTGTTTTGTTTGTACATCTTAATATTCGTGTAACCAAATTGGCTCTCATTTGGCACTTGCCCCTCTTTTGCCCGCATTTGTATGACAGCATGGTGATGGAGCTCCCCCAAGGATGTGAGTCAGTTCTCTTCATAGAAGGACAGTCTCCTTCTTTGATACATACCAGGAAAGGTCTGGTTTCTAATTTATTGTGCATGGTTACAGCCTCAAAGTTAAAAAGAGAGGACTGGATCACTCATTGCAAACAGAAGTTAAATCTCCTTGTTCTGCTTGTAAAACGCAAAATTTAAAGAACTTCGGGTAATAGAAAAACTGGACTAAAACTAGACAATGAGGGTTCCTAAGATCTAGCCAGTTCTGAAGAATGGACTCCATGATCTCACTATCTAAGCTGTCGCCTTGTAACAAATCAGCCCTGGGGCTTTCCTTCCTACGTGGGAATGTTCACACACGGTGCTAGAGCGTGCAGGATTTTGTCTCTGAGTGGCACAATCAGGCAGCATTCTCAGTGACCTCTAACCTTTGTCGTACTGTAGATGATCTCGCTTTGTATCTGCACATCTTTGCTCTTCCTTTTATCCTTCTTTTTTCTCTTTTCCACCATGATCAGGCCTACCTCCCTGCCCCTCTCCACTCCCCAGGACCCACCACCCAATAACTACTTAATTCAATGGGTACCCAATGGCTTTCTCGCTGCTTATAATCCCTGAGCTCTCAAAAGAACACTTCAGGCACAGCCCTTGGTTTTGCATCTGGTCAGTAATGCCCAGCCAAATCCTGGGATTCTTGGATTAAACCATGCCCATTGCTCAGGAAACCAAATGGGGACTGTTCAAACAAACACGGAAAATGTACAAACAAAGGAGCCTGACCCTATTAAAACATTTTTGGAAAGAAGTAAAAATATAGATATGTAAAAATGCCTAAGTTTTCTCTGTCTACTCCCACACCCACCTTCAATCTCTGCAGGATTTTTCCAGTGTTCAGCATCTACCAAAAGAATCAAACAGATCATGAAATGGACTAGAACAGAGTTCGACAAAGCACTCCTTTTCTTCCCATGTATTTTCACTAAGAGGAAAAGTAAAGAGGGAGCTGGGCTTTATCACTGTAGAGGCCCTTCACTGCCACCTGACCTGGAGGCCTGAGTCAAGGCCCTCTCCATGCCCCAAGGGAGACTGCAAGGATTCAAAGCCATGCATTTTGCCCTGGGACTCTCAACATTAGCCTGGTCTCTATGCCTAAGGCTCTTCAATTCTTCACAGCATTATACTGTAGTTTTATCCAGAGTCCCAGGTCCTCATGGGAAGGCAATGTGAAGTCTACCCTCTCTTCAGATCCAGAGGTTAACATGACAGGAAAGTCAAAACTATTTCCAGGTTGCTGGGTGGATGTGATCCGGATGGTTCTGCAGTCCCTCTGGGCTGGGAGCCTGCGCGATCTTCTAATGCATAGGGCATGTCATCAATTTTTCCACAGGGAGTCACCTTAGGTATTTTAGGAATTAAATTATTTTCTTCCCAAGATTAGTGTTTAAGAACTAGGTCAGTGAAGCACTATCAAATTATGGAAAGCATTAAATTTGCAGATCGTTTCCACAGTTAATTAATTTCGTTCTGGGCACCCGGAGATACATGCACTATCTTCCTTTGCCTAAAATCACCACTTCAGGGACGTCATGAGATCATGGAAATGTGAACTTATCCTTTGCCATAGTTTATTCACTTATCTCCACGGAAATTAAAGGGCAAGGGGGAAAATGAGCTAAGAGGTGTTTCTTACCTGCAAGTGTTTGGTCAAGCTCCACCTGCAGGCATTTTTTATTAACCCATCAATGTACTCTCCGAGGAATGGGAATTAAGGGGCAGAAATATCCAAGCACTTCTGGGAAACTTGAAAAAAATGCACGTGACTTTTGGCAGCATCTGTACTGAGCCTTGAGGGTGCTGTGGACAGACATGCCCTTCTCCATACATTCCCGGTTTCTCTGATAGCCGCAAAAGGTGAATGATTTCCCGGCTGTAAAACAACAGCTAAAATGGATACTGACATCAACCACAAACGGAAAAAGCAGTTTTATTTGTAATTTTAACAGAAGACGATCATTTTATCCTCAGCAAATGGCACATTCATGTGGCAAGGACAGGGGAATGCAGCCGTGAAGAAAAAAAGAAAGAAAACCCTGCTCTCGTGGAGCTTCCATTCTAGCTGAGGTACGGTTTGTTTGTTTGGTTTGGTTTTGTTTTAATCCTATCCAGGTGGTCCACGGCCTGCCATGCTGTCTTCCTTCTCAAAGTCCACTTAGGTGGCTGCAAGCAACCTCTCACCTGCGCATTGCCTAAGTCACTCTAAAAACAGAAAAAAGTTTCCAGCTGAGAATTCACCCACCTCCACCTCACCCCCTTTCCTCCAACCTTTTCAGGCTCCAAACTTGCAGACAGCAGCCCACAGGGTAGGCATAATAAGTGGGGCAGGTCCTTTCCCCAAATGAGATCAGGGTAAGGAGAGGGTCCCCTGCAGCTGGGGAGGGGAGGAGGTTGGGTAAGAAAGGGGGAAAGTGGGACATGGAGGTGGGGTGAGACACCGTCCCTGGCGGCGACCAACATTTCTTGGTGGCAGGACGCCTTAGCCCTGGAGTCTCAAAGAGGCCTCCCTTGGACTTTGTAGGGACCACAGGTCCCACCTCAACCCTCCTTGGGTTTACCTTTCCCATCAAATAGTCATGTGCCCTCCTGCCCTGCCCAACCCCAGCGTTCAAGAGAGAATAACATTCATTACGAATGCCTTTTATCCCTGGCCAAATCCAAGCCTCTTTACCTGGATATATATATATATATAGTCCCATCCCACTTCCCTCTCCAGGTCTAGGGAACCATCAACTCCAAGGCTAGAGCTGAGGAGACCCCTCCAGAAAGAAGCCATTCCCCATGTGGCTCCCGAAGCGCATACTTAATACAGTCAGTCTAATCTCGGAACGCGATCCTTCCCCAAGTACAAAAATAACAGAGCTGTGGATGAAGCTGTCATGTTGCCCGCCCCATTGTGAATGCCTTCAAAACTCCCTGAATAAAGATAAGAGAGGATTGTGTACGTTTTCAACACAAATGGTGGAAAGTAATAAAATAAACATCAAAGGTGAGCTCCCACCTACTCGCGGCTCCGTCGCTTTTTGTGCAACAAAGGCAGGAAAAAGGAGGAAACTCGGCGTGGCAGGGCAGCGGGCTGGAAGTGCACCTTCCCGGGGCCGGGACGCCCGCTCCCTGGACTAATGACGCCGCGCGGGGATCACGCCCCGGGCGCCCTGGGGTGGGGAACGGTCCCCCCTTTCGAGATGGTCCGACACTGGTGCCAGTGAGGTCACAGCACAAGTCCCAATGGAATCTTGGAAAGAAATGGCCGTGACCCGGTTGCGTTCTTGCCCCCGCCCACGGGAACGCGCCCTCCCCGTCGTTCCTGTTGACTGTCAGATCCCGGGAACCAAGCGCCTGACCTCGGCGGCGTCTGAGGCTTCCGCAGGGACACAAGTGCAGGCAGAGCCCGGCACCCTGCGCCAGACACAGCCGCCCCAGGGGAAGAGGAGGACGCTGCTGTCCTCCCCCAGGAGCCACCAGCCAGGTAAAGAAAAAGGTAAAGTAAGACAAAAGTGAAAGTCGGAGCCCATTTAGTGAGCAAGAGTCAAGGTCATCCAAAAAGGCGCATACAATTTCAAGCCCAAGAGTGTATTCATTAAAACAAGAGGAAAAGACGAGATGGTCCTTGAAAGGAGCTGATAGGACAAGGCTCCCGAAAGAGGTCACTGCAAAGTGTCCTGTGCACTTTCTGTTCAGCACCTCTGCAGTGACGACAGGAGTTTGCTTTCGTAATTAGCACGATTTTCACTACTACAGAAGCACATAGGCTGCATGCAGCTTAGGCCCGAGCAAAGTCCCTGCTCCCCTGGACCCAGCCCCTTCAGGCGTCCCCCTGGGGGAACCGTGGCGTGTCCCCCCAACCAGGCGCACTCGCCTAAATTGCGTCACCGAACTCCAGGGCGCAGGGAGCCCTCGCGGGCTGCCCGGGGCTGGGGTCCACACCTCAGCAGAGGAGCCGGCGGGCGGGGCGGCCCCGCGCGCGCACACACGCATACTCACAGACACGCGCAAACCCACAGCGGCGCGCGCGCTCCCCATTGGCGGGAGGAGGAAGGCGGGGCCCGCAAACCCAAAACAAACAACCTGCGCCAGCGACTTTGCCGCCGCGCTGCAGTGTGGCCTCCTCCTGGTGCGCACCCGGTGGGGAGCTGGAGAGCCGCCGCCACCTCGGCCACCTCGTTCCCCCACCCCTTGCAGTCCGCGCCCAGGCCCCGCCCCCGCGGAGCCGCCGCAGGGTTATATTGGGCCGGCCCGAAGGTGGAGGCGAGACGCAGCCGCGGCAGGCCAGCGGGGAGATGCTGCCCCCGAAGCTGGGGGCGGGAAGGCGGCTGCGGGCGCAGCGGCCTCGGGGACTCGCCTCCGCGCGTGCTCAAGGCTGAAGGCGCCGGACCCTCCCCCACGGCGGCACGTACATCGTCCGGCACCATTTCCGTGCCCCGAAGACGCCCGCACGGGACCTGGGACCGCCAGTGCAGAACCCCTCCTGGGCGCTTCAACCAGCAGCAGATGCGCACGCTGCTTCTCTCCGGCAGGAAAGCCTTCTAAGCCGGGCGCGCCCGGGCCCCCGAGGGTGGAACCGCGGCCCCTGCAGACACTCACCCCAAAGTCTCAACCTCGAACCGAAGGCGACACCCACCCAACTCCTCCCTCTCCGCCCCTTAGTCCATCCAACACTCACAGCCCCTCCAAAGAAAAAGCCCAGCGGAAGAGGACTCCGGAAAAGTGACTGTCTCGGAAGACCAGGGTAGAGCTCCTGGGAGAAAAAGGCGAAGATCCCCGGCCCCGGATCGCCATCCCCTTCCCTGGCACCACCTTCCCTAGACTGCGCGAAAGAAGAGGGTACGACGCCGGGGAGGGACTGGGTGCGCGGGCATGAAGTTGGAGGTGTTCGCCCCTCGCGCGGCCCACGGGGACAAGCCGGGCAGTGACCTGGAGGGTGCGGGCGGCAGCGACGCGCCGTCCCCGCTGTCGGCGGCGGGAGACGACTCCCTGGGCTCGGATGGGGACTGCGCGGCCAACAGCCCGGCCGCGGGCGGCGGCGCCAGAGATCCGCCGGGTGACGGCGAACAGAGCGCGGGCGGCGGGCCAGGCGCGGAGGAGGAGGTCCCGGCAGCAGCGGCTGCAGCGGTGGTGGCCGAGGGCGCGGAGGCCGGGGCGGCGGGGCCAGGCGCGGGCGGCGCGGGGAGCGGCGAGGGCGCACGCAGCAAGCCGTACACGCGGCGGCCCAAGCCCCCCTACTCGTACATCGCGCTCATCGCCATGGCCATCCGCGACTCGGCGGGCGGGCGCTTGACGCTGGCGGAGATCAACGAGTACCTCATGGGCAAGTTCCCCTTTTTCCGCGGCAGCTACACGGGGTGGCGCAACTCCGTGCGCCACAACCTCTCGCTCAACGACTGCTTCGTCAAGGTGCTGCGCGACCCCTCGCGGCCCTGGGGCAAGGACAACTACTGGATGCTCAACCCCAACAGCGAGTACACCTTCGCCGACGGGGTCTTCCGCCGCCGCCGCAAGCGCCTCAGCCACCGCGCGCCGGCCCCCGCGCCCGGGCTGCGGCCCGAGGAGGCCCCGGGCCTCCCCGCCGCCCCGCCGCCCGCGCCGGCTGCCCCGGCCTCGCCCCGCACGCGCTCGCCCGCCCGCCGGGAGGAGCGCGCCAGCCCCGCGCGCAAGTTCTCCAGCTCCTTCGCCATCGACAGCATCCTCAGCAAGCCCTTCCGCAGCCGCCGCCTCAGGGACACGGCCCCCGGGACACCGCATCAGTGGGGCGCTGCGCCCTGCCCGCCGCTGCCCGCGTTCCCCGCGCTCCTCCCCGCGGCGCCCGGCAGGGCCCTGCTGCCGCTGTGCGCGTACGGCGCGGGCGAGCCGGCGCTGCTGGGCGCGCGCGGGGCCGAGGTGCCGCCGGCCGCGCCGCCCCTCCTGCTCGCGCCCCTCTCGGCCGCCGCCCCCGCCAAGCCACTCCGAGGCCCGGCGGCCGGCGGCGCGCACCTGTACTGCCCCCTGCGGCTGCCCGCGGCCCTGCAGGCGGCCTCGGTCCTCCGCCCGGGCCCGCACCTGCCGTACCCGGTGGAGACGCTCCTAGCCTGAGCCGCGCCGCGGGGCTCGGGAACGCCGAGTGCGCGCCGTCGGGGAGGCGGGAACGCGGGCCCGCGGACTTTGCACTTTCAATCCAGAGGAAAATGAATTTTAAAAATCTCCATCAAACGTGCCTTAAAGCTAAAGCATTTTGACAGGAGTATTTGAACTTAGTCCAGGATATTTTCCTTTGTCTTTTATAACTTTACAGAGGACCAAAGCAATTCTTGTGTCAGTTTCTTTGCGAAGCCTGTCCCTCCTTCCCTTCATAAGGACTTTTTTTGTCTTTCTTTAACGCCCAGGCTTCCTCTTATTCCTACTGTTTTTGTCGCACCTTCCATTGATTTATGTCCCTCCCTTCCCCTCTAAGTGCATCAGGGAACCTTTCCACACTATAAATGATATGACTACTGTTTGGGGTTTCTGAGCCCTCATCCGTGTACGTATGTGGCGTTTCCAGGTATGACTGAGTGTGAGAGACACGTCAGAGACTCTTCAGTCATTTCTTGCTATTGACCAATGCTTCACTGTGCCAAAAGAGAAAAAAAAAAAAAAAAAGTTGGGTTTTGTAATTAAATTATTTATATATTTTTGAAACCTGAATTGAAAATGTTGCAGGCAACGGGCTACAGCTTTATTAGTGGTTCTCTAACTGTGGTCTCCTTGGGCCAAGCAATTTCTTTAAAGAAAAAGTTGATTATGTATGTGGGGTGCCAGGACCACTGCCACTTGAAAGCAAGTGTGATTTTTATTTTTAATATTATTTTATTTGTGTGTCTGTACATATTCATGTATACATTTTATGAAACCCAAGCATAGTGCTTATTTTTTAATAAAACTCACAACTGACTTAACACATTGTGGTGATGGGTTGGAAGTGGAGAGATTTTTATGTCTGTCCCCCCTCCCCCCAAAAAATGGACTCAGGTTTCGGTCTCAAGAAACTTCCTTTGGAGATCAAAGTATTTTCCTGAATAATTCGATAAAGGTATTATAGAATGGGCTTGCACATTTCCTTATGAGATACAGTGCTAAACAAATTTCCAGATAGAACTTCCATTCATGGGCTTTTTAAAACTTGAAGACCAATTACTCCTCTAATTAGTCACCTAAGCGTTTCCAGAACAAATGAGGGGGAAGTGTCCCTCTCTCCCCCAAGAATCCTTCAGCAGGCAAGTTGAGCTCTTAAGCCTAGAGTCAAATAGATATTTTCAGGTAAATTGGTTCTGATTTGGGGCTCAAAAAGTTGAAAACTTAATTTTGTCATAAAACTATCTTAACACATCAAAGGTTCCTTCAGGGCAATTTCAAGAGCAATTTAAATGTCACAGTGTTTTTGTCAAAACCATCCACCTTTTAAGGAATGTGTAATTTCAGTTGGGTGTGAACCAATGGGTAGTATTTTTTTCACTCTTCCCTGTAAAGATTTCACTTGTAAAGATTTCACTTGAAGCGGTGGCAGTGTCCTGCCTGTTTCAATCGCAGTCTGAAGAGAAAATGCCACCTGGAGAGAGGGAGAGCCAGTTTCCCATATTACAAATGTAAGGGAGGATTTTCATCAGTGGTGAACACCTGTTGTTCAGTAGGTTCCTAGGCAATACTGTTTTAACAATGCATGGATTGCAAAATTCTAGAGAGTAATACAAACTGTGGGAAATGCAGAGACTAGAAACAGGCCTCATTGCCATGGCTGCCATTCTTGGGTAGGTGCCATCTTACCCATGACAGGAGGATGATTTGAGCTCTACATATAATGAGGTGGGGAAGGAGAGTGGTGTTTATTTCAGGATGCTCTCTTTTGGCAGGAATGGGAGAGAAACAATCTTCCCTAAGTCCGGTTAACAGATGATGAGTCGACTGATTTGGATTACATCTACTTAGTAGTCATAAAGAGTGATAATAATAGGGTTGAATTATGGCAAGAGGTAGACCTTTGCACCCACAGGGCCAATAATCAGACCCCAAAATAAACCTGAAACAGACCAGCAACTAGGGGCAGGGGGCAATGGGTGCCCTGGGTAGAAATGATGAGACCTCAACATGTTGTTGCAGGAGAGCAGGGAGTCAGTCAGCTCTGTCCTTCCCACCTCTGGTTCCAGGGGACCATGTCTCTCCCACAGTGTGCCTCACCCACAGAGGAAAAGTGCAGCCTACTGTAATATCTTTTTTGTAAAACCACTGTTTTCTTTTCCGCACTGATACGTGAAGACAGTCCTGCAAAGGGAGATTTAAAGTCGCTTCTGATTTATTCGTGTTAACACACAAACAGCAAAGTGAAAGACAAAGGTAGTGTTCCAAAAATCACAGCTGTTCCGCCCTGCCCTCAAAAGAAAAAATAAATCCTTGCTAATGAACACCCTGGAGTCTGGTAGAATGCTGTCCCCTCCTAGCTTCTGGTCCCCTTCTTTGTTTCCCCAGGGACTGTAAGGGTTGTCAGAGTCGCATGAGTTTTGCACCCCTATTTCATGACCAGTTCCAAGCTCAGTATCCCATGACCAGGACAATCACACTGGGCCAGCGGGGCGGGGGGATTGGAGGGTCCTGGGCTGTCGTCCCCTCCTTGTCCCTCCTTCACACACCCAGCCCTGGGGAGTTTCGGTTTATCGGTGCTGGGCCGGAGGCAGCCCAGAAGGAAAGGCTACGGCGCAGCTCCCGTTTTCTCAGTGAACACAGAAAGCTGCACAGCTGCTTTTAGTTCAGGGGAAGCTGGAATTCCGCGGAACCGCACGTCGCGGCAGGCATGGCGGCCTTCGGAGGGGCTGCTCGGTCCGGCTGCAGGATCCTGGCCTCAGGCAGCAGCGTCGCGGTGGCCGTGGCACCTCTCGAGCCCAACAGCTCCTTCCAGCAACTGCCCAAAAACCTGCATTCCTCGGAGGCACGGGAGGAGGGCTCGGGGCTCACAGTGCCCAGGCCCCCAGGCCTGGCCGCGCCCCATCTGCCAAGGGCAGGGTTGTGCCCCTCCCCCCGCCCACCCCTCCTCCCACCCCCTCTCCCCGCCCACCCTTCCTCCCACCCCCTCCTCCTGTCTACCCCTCCTCCCGCCCCCTCCCCCCGCCCACCCCTCCCCCGCCCGCTCCTCTCTCCTCCCCCCGCCCCAGAGCTCCCATCCCGGGCAAAGGCACCCGGCCCCAGCTGCGCAAACACCAGGCCGAGGGGCACCCGAGTGACCCTCGACCGACGCGGGGGCTGCGGGATGCGGGGTGTGGCCAGGGATCTGTTTGTTTGGGAAACGTCCTGTGACACCTGCCAGTCCCGCCTGGAGCTGCCGCTGTGGGGCCGGGGCTCGGTGGGCGCCTTTTCAAGGAAACCCGTGTTGGCCCCCCACAGCCGCCGCCGACCCGCCCCGTCGGCGCCTTTAAACGGCCGCAGTTCCCTCCCACCCCGCTGAAACCCTCCAGGCCGCGGCGGGCAGTGGGGTGGGGAGAAGCGCACAGCGCGCCCCCGTCCCCGCCTGGCCTGGTCTCTGCGCCAGCGCCTGGGGCCTTTCTGGTCCCCCGGCCGGGCCCTCTCTGCAGACGGGGACCAAGTCGGTGCATCTGGGGGCTGAAAACGTCTCTGGGAAGCGACGCACTCGTTGCCATCAGTTTCCTCAGTCAGGGGCCTCCTTTCTGCTTAGAACACGGTTCCCGCCCGGGCGGGAAGCACGGGGCTGAGTGGCCAACGGGCCCGGTCACCCTGCGCCTCCGCTGCCTGCGAGTGAGCCCGGGTGGTGAAAAGCTCCAACCATCCTGGGATGGACTCCAAGCCCTTTAGCTATGGATAAAGAACCTAACTAGGTCCTTTCTAGAACTGTGCCTCAGATCCTTGACCCCACATAAATTCTCAAAAAAGAAAAAAATCGGGAAGTCCCACCTCAACAGATTAAGATGCGTTCTCCTAGGGGATGCCCAGGGTGTGGCCCGCTGATTCTGAAGCATCCCAAAGGAGAAGCATCTGTGCCCACTCTGGCTCCACTGTTGCACAGTTTCACAAAGTTGGTATTTTTTCTGCCTCGCGGAATGTGTTTTCACACACAAAATACAAAGCTAAACTCATCGACTGTCTTGGATCAACGCACATACTTTCAAGCTCAGTAAGAAGCCCTAATTTTGCACCGGAGAAAATGGGGTCCCACAGTGTGTCTTTACATATTCCTTAGTGGCAGACGTGGGTCTGAAACCCAGAGGTTCCCGCTCCCAGCTCAGAATTCTTCCAACTGTAACATAGCGATGCGGAAGGTGCAGACCCAATCATACTATGCCCTGAACTTAGTTGAACTATTCAGATAATCGTCTCAATTCACTTTTATTACAATGGTCCGCAGATTCCCCATGTGGATAAATGGTTTCTGCTGCTATAAGAATTTGTCTCTTGTACCTCCCACTTCACTCAGGACTAGCTTTTGCTAGAGGAGAGACTACATCGCCCTGGGAGACGTACATGTGGGCATCCAGACCCTTGAGCTTCCATGGATCAGGTGATACAGCCCCTGACCGGGACGGTGGCACTGCTTGCTCTCTGGGGTATGTGCCAGATACAAACCCCCGCAAGGGCTACAAGCAGAATTATGCTTAGAAAGGGGTCTGCAGAGGCCGGGCACGGTGGCTCACGCCTGTAATCCTAGCACTTCGGGAGGCCAAGGCGGGCAGACCACCTGAGGCCAATCCTAGCACTTCGGGAAGCCAAGGCGGGCAGACCACCTGAGTTTGAGACCAGCCTGACCAACATGGAGAAACCCCGTCGCTACTAAAAATACAAAATTAGCCGGGCATGGTGGCCCATGCCTGTAATCTCAGCTATTCAGGAGGCTGAGGCAGGAGAATCACTTGAACCCGGGAGGCAGAGGTTGCGGTAAGCTGATCGTGCCATTGCACTCCAGCCTGGGCAACAAGAGGGAAACTCTGTCTAAGGGAAGGGAAGGAAAAGGAAGGGAAGGGGAAGTGGAAGGGGAAGGGGAAGGGGAAAGGAGAGAGAGAGAGAGAGACAGAGAGAGAGAGAGAGAGACAGAGAGAGAGAGAGAGAGAAAGAAAGAAAGAAGGAAAGAAAAGAAAGAAAAGAAAGAAAAGAAAGAAAGAAAGAAAGAAAGAAAGAAAGAAAGAAAGAAAGAAAGAAAGAAAGAAAGAAAGAAAGAAAGAAAGAAAGAAAGGGGTCTGCAGTGAAACAGGGATGGCCCAGCAGTTCCTGCTCTCTGGTGACACACACTTACAAGTGGGGACTTCTCATCAAACAACCCTCCTGTTTTCCTACAACAGGCCCCAAACAACAAAAATGGCCTTTTCCCCATATTGACAAGAAAGGAGAACTTCTTAGAATAATTCACTTTCCTTTTTTAGCTTAAAAAAATGCAAATTCAATGCATTCACATGACTGATAACTTCCTAGGTATTAGGAGACTTGGTTGGCAACCAATGTACAAAGATTCTGCTTTTCTCTTTACTAATTTTTTTTTTAATTCTTTTGACTACAATAGTTGAGTTGCCTCAGTTCTAGAAAGGAGACCAGGAAGAGTCCTTCAATAATTCTTTCCTGCTTTTAAACAGCACAATAGTCTCCTCTTAAATAACAGACTTTATAGTTCTCTAATGAAATGATTCAATTTTTGTTATACTTTAAGAAGACAATTTGTTAATTCTTAATGTTGTCATCAACAAATGGCCCTAATAAGTAGCTTCCAAGAGGACCATGATCAAAAACATAAAGATGTAACTCTCCCCGGATACAAGGACCTCTTTCAAATTGGCAAGGATTCTGATGTCATGAAATGCTGGTGGTTGTGCAATAGTTTCTGCACTGTATCTGTTCGACATTATTAAGATGGATGGGTGATTAGAAGCAAATGTTGTTCCTGTCATTTGCCAACTTATACACAGCCTGGAAAAGAGAA